AATAAAAAATAACAAAAAATATATATATATAAGACTCACCAAAAAGAAAAACTGTCACTTTTGGTATATGTATGAGAATATACAGTAATAATTCCAAAGGAACAATGTTATGGATGGATTTATTATGACTGTTAATGAATTGTTAATAATTATAATAATAATTCCAATATGAAGTTATTTATGATACTCTTGAGGAGAATGCAGCAGAATTTGGAGGAAAATGGTGCGCGTTCCAAAGGCGGGTCACCAATATGTAGAGGCGGCAGCTAACCAATATGTTAAGGGTAATGTCCTTAATATCTGACTCCAAATAATAATATTCCGTAACTGAGTATTTAAGGTAGGCTTAATCTCCTAGTAGAATTACGGATTTACTCGAGATTATTAAGAAGCCTGAACACCAGTTATGGAGATAGTTTATTATTAATGAATAATGATAATCCACAAGCGTATTGTGAGCAAGCACACGATGGGAACAGAGAGAGTGAGTGAGTTTGTTAAAAATCCATATATATTTGAGGGTTAATCGGGTGTAGATAAATTATCGATTATCTGCACGTTGAAACCAATAGGAAAATAGTTTAAAAGTTAATGTACAGACACGCATTCGATCAAACACACCGAAATTAACATAGTGAATTAAGAGTCTAAGTTACAATGAATAGACAGATGATACAGTGGCCAAATGGGCTTGCCACAAGAGAAAGGTATAAAACAACTTGGTTTAAGGGTATACAAAGAGGGTATAAACCTATAACATTGTGATCGATTATGAGCCATATCATCTAGAGTCTCCAACCACTGGTTACAGTGGTCATGTGAACCCCAACCAAGTAGTCTGCATCTACCAGTATGACTCAGAAAACAAGTTAGTGACTTTATGGACTAATGCCACGTTTTGGTTTGGCCGCCCCTAAATATTACTATAAAATAAAATTCTGTAAATATAAAAAGGTATTGAATTAACGGTTATTACAATCAAAGAGACAGAATTCACCAAATCAAGAGAATAAGTTCATTGAATATTTCTTCAATAGTACAAGATAGTAATCAATGAAAGGGATATAAATTGTAAAAACAAATAATCATGTCTTTACTTATCATTTCACAGGTTTAAAATTCAACTGCTCAATGTAATTCAACATGAGAAACTGTGCAATATCATCAGTTCTATGATACACAAAACAAGTGACTCAAACCTGAATACATGTTGAATTGATGATTGGCACAAAACAACTGTTCAAATGTCGCTCACCCTCTGTGTTTTTTTATGGTTTGTTGGTGAGATTATAATTTATGGACGACCTTTGAGTAACACCAGACTGGCCTTGAGAGCGTACACCTAATAACCAGAACCAAATGAGGGCTATAAACCTGTGTGTGGGATTAGAATTATGATTTACAGTTGATGATTAAGGTTAGGAATAAGATTTAGGGTTTTCATCACTAACCGGCATCAGCTATAATGCCAAAACTCTATTTATTCAAATGAATGGGTGAATTTCGCGCCGAAATCCGAGACCTGTTATCTTATACGAGATTGGTTCGTCCATAAATTATAGTCTCGCCGGTTTATCTTCAAATGATGTTAGTAATAGTCCAGTGAATGAAAACTTGGTGGGGATAACCAACTTATTATTTAATGCAAAATCACATGGCGGTTAAGTAAAATGTGAAAATCATACACTAGGTACATCATTTGCACATCTTTGAATTGTTTCTTACGAACTACATTGTTTATTCATTCCTGTTGTAATCTTGATTGCTTTCAGTGTTCTTTCCTCCTCTCTCCACTTCAGTCTTCTAAATCTTATGTTGGTGACTTTTCCACTTCCAATCGGAGCTGGAAAATGTGCAAATGATGTATGTATTGTATGGTTTTCATACTTTACGAAGACAATGTAATTTTGCATTAAACAATAAATCGGTTATCTATACCAAGTCTTCGTTCACTACATTTGGTGTCAATGCCAAAGAGGCGGAGAGGATGCAGTTCTGCGAACGCCATTGCGAGGCCTTGAGAGGAGGCGCTAGTTGTGGCAGTCTGGTGCAGGAAGGTGACGTTGAGTGTAGTGTTCTGGAGGAGCGGAATTGGTTGCAGCAGTCACAGTCGATGGGGAGCAAGGGTGGGATCTCTGATCGCTAGGAGAATATCGGATGTAGATGACTCGGCAATTCGACAGAGTTACAGAGGTCAGCGCGCCAGCGGACTCGACATTTCGATGGGGATGGCACAAACTGCGGCAAAGGAAGTGGCACGGTGAGCAGAAAACTCTCATTCCAAACAAATGGTGAACATGGGCTCCAGGATCCTAAGGAAACAAATGGTGTATCAATCTATTGTTGGTCACCGGCTACCATGGGACTACATCTCCTGAAGTTGCTCCACTGCATGGTGGATTAGACCCTTAGGTCGAAGGCTCCGGGTGCGGCCTCTAAGAAAACCACTTGCTTCGGTTTCAGCACCCGGACAGTATCCCAGCCCTTACATAAATCTAATCATTTATGTGGCACATATCTGTCTGGTGCCTCGTTGTACCATTGTTTATGTGTTAAAATAAATAAATAACCATGGTAAAATTAAACTCTACTAACAGCGTTGAAGCAAATGAAATCAATCAGTCGGAATGAAGACAAAGATTGTTGAGTTTATGCATGATTTTTAAAACGAGATTACGGATAGCCTGCTATTGGATATCATACTTTTAAGAAGAATTCTCATTTTAACTTATAGGGTTAATGATATGATGGTAGATCGGTGGAAGTAAAGTATTTGAATGACGTTGAATTACTTTCTAGCCAACGAGAAAACAACATTTGGTTATGACAAATTTTCTCACTGAACGCTTGATTCAGTTTCCTAAGCTCTTCTAGTAACTCCCAGATCAAATCTACATGACAACTTGAACATAAGAGAAAAGGCGCGAAATATAGAGAGAACATTTTACACCAAGGTTTGTTCATGTACAGAAAGTCTGGGGTATTTATAGCATTTCAGATGGCCTTAAGCCTCTGGAAAGTTCTGAAACCCTTTTTTTAACATAATAGCAGGATAGGTAATTATCCAGTCAGAAATATGATATGTGACTTTAAGCTTAATAGATTTTTCTGAGAAACTTCTATTGAATGCTAATTGGATAAGATGTTGCTCAGTGTTTTCATGGCCGCTTTTGGCCTTTTTCGAGGAATTTTCTGGGTCTCTCCAACAATTCCCTTTATTTCCGTTCATTTTTCTCACATATCTTAAGGATTACCGTTTGCCAAACACACGTGTTCACATATACATTGACTTTATTGGCTGCCATTTTGTAACTGTTTACTAACAAGCCTGTTGCACACGTTTTAGTTCACTCCATACAGCATATTCCCTGTCAATTACACATGAACACCGTGAATCTATATCTGACATTATCTTGAATTACTTTACCTACATTATTATAATTATAGATATCTATTTGGATCTGTGAACATGCATCCTTCTAATAATAACAAGTAACGTATATGTTTCTGTATATATTTGTTTTTGTGTTCGATTAACTCGTTCTTTTTATACGTTTTGGAGTATTGACTGAATTAAGATAGTTTCATATTTGTATTGGTCCAAAGCAGAATACAATGTAAATCAGAAAACAGTACACGAGCATGTCGAGGTGAGAATGAGACCAATAAAAACAGGAATTAGGTATTACATTTCAGTTATACAATTGTTTTAGTATAAATTAAATTTAAAAGAGTAGCATGAATAGTGAGAATAAATGCATAATAAGTACTATCAGAAGTAGGAGAACTAATCGAAATATGATTGGTCTGTTGAAAACAAAGGTATATTACCCTATTGCAGCATACGAAAAGTAGAAATATAGCCATGTAACTCAGACTACTGACTATTAGTAAGTAGTGTGTATGGACACATAAATTATGTGGCGAATATTTCTCCCTCTAGGTAGTGATAAAATTGATATTTAACTTGGTGTATTATGAGTGGGTGATCGATTCCGAATCATGTCACTCAACGTCTCCGACTACTGGTCAAGGTTATCGCGAAGATCCCAACCACGTGGTCTCTACCTATCAACATGCTCAATTTCTAACAGTCAGTGGTTTTATGAACTAATCTAAAATCAGTAGTACACCAAGATTTATGAGACTTCCGAGATAAGTGAAATAGTCTGCGCCTTCAACTACTTCATTCCAAGTTATTAGTTTAGACGTTGACATAGATCGGTCTTATGGAAACATCTCCTGTTTTGATTGGAAGAAATCCATCTCAAACATGCTTGTAATGTTTCTACAGGAAATTAGAAGACTCTGGATTTTGTCGGTGTCCTCATTAAACAACGATTTATAAACTATGTATTCAAAGTTAATAAATGAATCCGAATCGAAATTGCCTCAAAATTAGTCTCAATCTGAGACTAAATATATTAATTCTTCATCTTCTCTTAGCTTCCATAGATTCATTAGTTCTTTTAAAACCAAATACTCTATGTTTAATCTATTTGATTAATCACAAATAGTCCGACTAATTCCATTTCACAGATTGAAATCATGAGTCAGTTGAAGCTCGACCACCATTGAAAACCTGGATGCACTGGACGGCCGTTTTGTCCTAGTATGGGACTCCTCAGCAGTGCGCATCCACGATCCCGCACCACGCGGGGCTCGAACCCAGGACCTACTGGCTTCGCGCGCGAGCACTTAACCACTAGACCACTGAGGAGGCATTGAACGGTGTTAATGTCTAACTTCAACCAATCCACGAAGTTGCGCCACCGTACACCATTGTCTTCAGTGAGTTCCTATCTCACAACAGACCTGGTTGAACTCCACTGGTAACGGCTTCTCACTAGAACTTCGGGAGTTTTTCCTGAAGTCCATTTCCCTGTATTGAGGAAGTGAATTGAACTATCTTGAGCCATACGTTAATGTTGACTGGTCAATTAACACATTAATTAAAATAAAACAGTAAAAAGAAAATACTTAAAATAAATTACACTTACAGGTCGAATGTCAATATCACACATACTAATGCTACTAGCCACTATGTGACTCATTGATAACATTGAACTACCGCCAGCTTCCTATAATATTTAAAATAAAGAAAATTACATGAATGAAACAAAAAAAGAATAGATTATGCTTAGAAATGAAAGGTAAAGTATGTGTTTCACTTCAATTAGGATGTACCTACCTGTATTGCAGTGTCCAACACACTAATGTTCAAATACAGTATCTATTGCTTTAAGCAGATATTACCTAGTACTAATATTCGTTGTAGTCAGAGGTTTCGGTTTTCTTGTAAATGATATTCAAGATTAAATCTTAATAGACGCTTTTAGTATACAAACAGGCCCCTTTGAATATATATAATATATATAGTTTTGCATTAAGGTTAATAGTATTATTAATAATGAATACCATAGGTGTTAGACAATGTATTGGCCATGCTGACTTAGAAGCTTAGTAAGAATGATATGTAATAGGTTCTAGTCCAAATAATCAACACTGATAACACTGAAATGAAGGTATAGCCGGTGCACAGACCACAACCTGTTTCTGGCTAGCACTAACTTTCGGCACAGTCATCGCCGATGTGCCACCTGGCGTCCTTCCTCTGCATCTCAAGCCTGGACTCAGATTGATCACATCGTGATCAGCTACCGCTGGCGTGATTGTGTACAAGACTGCCGCTCCTTTTAGAGTACCTATCTGGACTCTGACCATCCCTTAGTCTGCGCCAATCTTACCTTACTTTTCAGTGGACAACGAAGTGACCGCCACCAACGGATTGATGTTAGCAAGCTGGTTGCAACTTCTGTTGCAAGTAAGTATCGAACCGAACTAGTTTCTAGGCTAGCTACCATTCCACCGAAAAGTATAGATGAGCGTTGGTTGCAATTGCATAACGTCACGAAAATAGCGGGTACAGTCAGTTGTGGGTTCGCGAAACGTCCGGCTTCTAAGCACTGGGTTTCTTCAGGTTCCTTGCAACTCATTGAAGCCCGTCGGTCTATTCCGGGTGACCGTGAGTTTGACGACAAACGAAGGTTGTTACGTAGTGAAATTGGGCAAAGCTTGTGTAAGGACCGAGAAGCTTGGTGGTCGGAGCGTGCTAATGAGTTGGAAGCAGCAGCTGCATCTGGTAATTACCGGAAGCTCTTCCAATTCATCCGAGCCACTGGCAACAAGAAGTCTGGTGTGAGCGAAACAATCTGCGAGGATGATGGGATGCCAATCACTAACATCCATCGACGTCTTGGACGATGGGCAGAATTTTTTGAAGGGCAGTTCAACTGGCCTGCCGCTCAAGCAAAATCAGTCAGACCGTCCTGCCCTCCATGGCCGATGACGACTGGTTCACCAAATGAGGCGGAAGTCCGAGAGGAACTCCAACACTTGAAGCGCTACAAATCACCTGGCCCAGATGAGTTACCTCCGGCTCGTTTCAAAGATGGTGGTGACTTTCTGACTAAGTAATTGACGACGTTGTTTACAAAGGTGTGGGAACTAGAGAGTGTACCAACGTCATGGAATGAGTCGATAGTTGTCCCTATCTTCAAAAAAGGTTCACGTCGTTCCTGTAACAACTATCGAGGGATAAGTTTACTTACAACTGCGTCCAAGCTATTGGCTTCCGTCATACTTCGTAGGTTGTTCAAAACCCGAGAATGATTGACTTGCGAGAAGCAGGCTGGGTTTCATTCTGGTCGAGGATGTATTGATCATATCTTCACCTTCCGCCAAATGTTAGAACACCGTCATACTTGTCAAAGGCCAACAATCGTAGTGTTTCTTGACATTAAGGCTGCCTTCGATTCGTTGGACAGGACTGTTCTCTGGGATTGTCTATTGAAGAAGGTTGTGCCTGAGAAGTTTATTAACATCCTAAAAGCCCTATATACAAACACCTCAAGCAGAGTGAGGGCATACAACCACCTCTCTCCATTGTTCCATTCGAGCAGTGGGATTAGACAGGGTTGCTCAATCTCACCATTCCTCTTCAACTTTGCCATCGATGACATTCTGGAAACAGCTCTGATGGATGTAAGTAATGGTGGTGTGGATCTGTTGCCTGGAGAAAGACTTCTCGACCTTGAGTATGCAGATGATATTGTCTTACTGTGCGATAATGCCCAAGGCATGCAATCCGCACTTAATCAGTTGACAATCAGTGTCCGTAAGTATGGTATGTGCTTTGCACCTTCGAAGTGCAAAGTACTTCTACAAGACTGGCAGGATTCCAATCCTGTACTCACCCTGGATGGTGAGCAGATAGAAATAGTCGAGAAGTTCGTGCATCGAGGTAGCTGCATAAGTGCTGGTGGGGGTGTGAGTGATGAGATCAATGCACGTATAGTGAAAGCCAGAGCGGTTTATGCCAACCTGGGCCATCTTTGGCGCTTTCGTGATGTTAGTCTGGCCGTAAAAGGTCGGATCTACAACGCGTCGGTGAGAGCAGTTTTGCTCTATGCTTGTGAAACCTGGCCTCTCCGAGTTGAGGACGTTAGACGACTCTCTGTGTTCGATCATCGCTGTCTCCGAAGGATTGCTGACATTCAGTGGCAACACCATGTCAGTAATGCAGAGGCTCGGCATCGTGTGTTCGGGCGTAGGGACGATAATCCAATTGGTGTCACCATCTTGAAACACCGACTTCGGTGGCTTGGACATGTTCTACGAATGTCGTCCCAGAGAATTCCACGTCGTGCATTATTTGCCGACTCTGGGACTGGTTGGAAAAAGCGGAGATGTGTTCAGTGCATGACATGGTGTCGTGGCATGAAAGAAAGCTGCAAAGGACTAGTTTCAGTTTGTCCTTCACGACTCCCTGGTTGGGGTCCGAGAGATGGTGCTACACAGTGGCTAGAGACGTTATCAGATATGGCTCAGAATCGAAGCCAGTGGGGATCCTGCTGTAACCTTCTTTTACTTTCTTCATAAAAAGTGGTTCTGTCTCCTTTACCTGAAAGATTTCTTCTGATTGTGCCTTTCCGTTCCCTCATTATTACTATTATTATTACCACACTACCTTACACCAATCTCTTCGTTATGCTCTCTTTCTACGCTCCTTACCTTTTTTTCTCTTCGAATTCTCATTGTTTTGTGTGGCGCATATATATTGGCGCTCTCTTGTACCAATATTTATGTGTTCAAATAAATAAATAATAAATAAATACGGAACGTAAGTCGTGCTTGATGTGTCTGTGCGTTGAACCACATTTTCTTTCATTAATGAGTTATGTCCAATGAAATCTAAGGGTGTGTTCATTCAACCGGATGCTTTTCCATCAGAGCTGTTTCCAGAATGTCATCGATGGCAAAGTTGAAGAGGAATGGTGAGATTGAGCAACCCTGTCTAATCCCACTGCTCGAATGGAACAATGGAGAGAGGTGGTTGTATGCCCTCACTCTGCTTGAGGTGTTTGTATATAGGGCTTTTAGGATGTTAATAAACTTCTCAGGCACAACCTTCTTCAATAGACAATCCCAGAGAACAGTCCTGTCCAACGAATCGAAGGCAGCCTTAATGTCAAGAAACACTACGATTGTTGGCCTTTGACAAGTATGACGGTGTTCTAACATTTGGCGGAAGGTGAAGATATGATCAATACATCCTCGACCAGAATGAAACCCAGCCTGCTTCTCGCAAGTCAATCATTCTCGGGTTTTGAACAACCTACGAAGTATGACGGAAGCCAATAGCTTGGACGCATTTGTAAGTAAACTTATCCCCCGATAGTTGTTACAACTTAATTACCACTTGATTTCCTGCACATAAGCTAACCCTGAACTAAAGTCGTTACACATCTTTTTTTGCCTCCTCTCTATTGTTTGAGTCGACGTGTAGAAGTAGTCTAGGGTTAAAAAGCGTTACAGCAGCAGACTTGTCAGAAACTATGTGCTAAAACAGATTGATGATAAGGAAATGGTGAATACCAATAACAGGACAATACAAACACTTTAGATAACACTGCTACAAATAATGTTCATAAAAATTTTCTTTTCTTAATAACATAAAATTTTATAAACTCAAAGAAAATATCCATAAACTTACTAACAATATAGATGGATCAAATAAAGCTTCAGGGATTTGAAAACGTTCATGACCCAATTCAAAATTGAATCCATTTGGAAACTCATAACCAACCATTGGAAAAGTGTCCGCTTGGCTGAAAGACACGTATTTTTTTAAAAAAAAAACAGGCAAAACTTGTATAGTGTAGCGTTACAAATACAAATAACTACATATGAATGTAGGGAGATTTGTGAAAACTGTAAAATCTTCATGATCTAAATCATAAACCAATACTAAAAATCAAAAAACATAAGACGGCTACTTCGCCCTATTATGGGACTCCTCAACAGTGCGCATCTACCACGTCACATCAGAGAATCCAACCCTGAATCTTCAGTTTCGTAGAAGAAACAGCCGTTTAGTGCTTCGAGCTATTCTTTAGTGATCTAGCTAACTGTAAGAATTACACATGATTTGTAATAGATCAATGTTTGCGATTTCAGAACTGCAGAGCCTCTTTCTAATCTTGGAAAGTTCTTAAACCAAGAATATACAACTCAATTATTATTCATGTCATAACCACTAACCTTTGATCATAACGATCTTCAGAAACTTGTAAAACTGACGCCACAAAATCTTGTATTTGGCACTGAAAATGTTAGAAAAAGGAAAGAAATGATTCATAAATGAATATGATTGTTGATTTTTGAGGAAAATTTACGACAGGAAAACTGTAGATTAATTCTTGCAAACTAATATATTATATATTTGGTAGCAAGTCATTAACAATCAGTTTGCACTGTTAAAATATGATAAAGGGTATAATTTTTAATCACAGTTTCGTTAAAAGACTACTGTGTTTAGGTAATTACTCAACATCATTATTGCAAACATAGTGAAACTGTGTGCTTTGTACTCGACTAGCTTTAAGATGAATTGTTAGACGACAAGGTAGGAATTAAGTCTAACGGTTGGATCACTATTTCATCGGTACTTCAGAGTGATCTATGAAATCCATGTATCCTTTAATCAATTATGCTTCATCATTTGATTTCTTTGGTACTTGATCCCGCGCATACATACTCGTTATTTTATTAGGTAAAATGATTCCTATTTTGCCGGGCAGCTTTCTTGGTTTCTGATATCAGTTCACATGGGGGTTGATGTCGATAATTTGGTCTTGTGAGTCGTCATCACTTAAAACACATTGTATCACCGGATATTACCCATCGATAGGTATGGCATTCACCAATTTAACAACATCCAAACGTCTCATTATAAATCTTGAAATCTTAATAAGCAAGACGATTTGGGTTACTGAAATTCTAATCCCACGTAGAGTTAATCTTAACCTGGGTTGATAGTAAAAGACAGAAATGATATTATAAGAACATAGCGAAACTGAAGGTCCTGGGTTCGATTCCCGTATGTAAGACAGTGGGTGTGTACTGCTGAGGAGTCCCATACTTCCATTTTTTAATGGTGGTCTAACTTAGATCAGTTCATGACTTCAGTGAAATTCAACTATCTCCACAGCCTTATTACTTACTTACGCCTGTTACCACTCGTGGAGGAGCATAGGCCACCCACCAGTATTCTCCATCCAACGCTGTCCTGGAGAATCCTTTCTAGTCGCTTCCAGTTGCCATTCATCCTTTCGATGTCTGCTTTCAATTCCATACTCAATGCATCTTCGGTCTTCCTTTTTTCCATTTCTCTTCAGGATTCCAAGTGAATGCTTGAATCGTGATGCGGTTTGATTATTTCCTCAATGTGTATCCTACTCACTTCCAACATCTTTTCATAGTTTCCCCTTCATCTGGAAGCTGGTTTGTTCTCTCCCACAGAAGGCTGTTGTTGATGGCATCTGACCAACGAACATTGAGTATCTTGTGTAGAAAATTGTTTGTAAATACTCGCACATTTTTGATGATGGTCTTGGTAGTTTTCCTCGTTCCAACTCCATACAGTAGAACTTTCTTGACGTTTGTATTGAAGATTCCGACTTCGATATTGGTTGACAGTTGTTTTGAGTCCCATATGTTCTTCAACTGTAAGAACGCGGCCTTAGCTTTGCCAATCCTTGGCTTCATGTCTGCATCACATCCTCCTTATTCGTTGATTAAGCCGCCCATGTGCGTGAAAGTCTCTACATTTTCCAGAGCTTCTACATAACCTCATACTGAAAACATACCTTAATTGTGAAACTATTTTGAATTTTATGAATACGTGGTCGCCTGTTACTTGGAAGGAATTCTTTGCATAATTTTGGTATACTATTTTTCCGTATTATTAACGCATTTTACGTGAGCACATTTTTATTAAAATTATCATTACTACTATTTGTGTACAGACATTTTGATCCGCAACAACCTTGTGGACATTTGGTCCATTTTTTTGTGGCAAATAAGTGGAATTCTCATCAATTTGTACAATGCTATCATAAATAAGAATGGTGTTTTTTGCCTGAAAACTATGCGAGTAACTGTTCGAGATTTTTAGATGGTTACAGGCAACTGTCACCATAGATCTGCATTAGTAATGAAGCAGGGTACAGTAAATATCAATTTCATCGTTGATCGAAACATCTTAGCAATGCCCATTAAGGACCCTGGAAGTGATCAGTAGGCTGCCATCTATGGTTGATTAGTAAATAACTGTTTCATTCCCACGACATGCTTGGAATCTCCCCCTTCTCACAATAACTTTAAGAATCGATTTTAAAGTCAGTCACCTATTCTTCACCGTTTTCAGTATTTCCTCTATTTGATTTTAATTCGTAGTGGAAATAATCTCCAGGATTAAACCAATCACCCCTTATCTCAAAACTAATTTATTTAAAAGTTATTTTTGTGAGGTCAGTAACCGAGTACATACACTTTTATACTCGATTTCACATCACAAATTCAATGTCCAGACTAGTGATACTCCTCAACTGTATAAAGCGAACTGGGTAGAACAGGCTATCATAATCGTAAGCCCAATTAAGTCGTTAACATAAAGTTATACGTTGACATTGATCATAATTTGTGAACATTAGTTTATTGAATTACATTTGACTTTCAATGTAGCCTAGACTTCTTTGACTTATAGACAATTAACAAAACGAACCTTTAAGAACAAAGTATGACTCAAAGTACATGTAACTTAACAGTAATGAACGCGATTGTCTATTGGACTATGATGATCTCCACAACTTGTGTGAGAATATGCAATCCAAAGTGAACTTTGACAGAGAGGTGTCTGAATCTGTGGTCCATCGGTTGATTATTGAGTGTATAAACTAATGGGTCACATCTTCAAAAAAACTGATGATTATTTATGTTATAAGCCGATTTGTAAATACATGGAAAAAGTTCAATTTTGTCATATAGACGGGCTACTTACTTTCAACATATAATTCTCATATGATGTGGAAACAGGTGGTAGATTTGTCCGTTCTTTCCATTTTGCAGGTTCACGTTCATTTACAGGCTCCTAAATAATGTTAATCAATTATAAAAATATTTACATCAATCCCACTAAATTCTGTGAATTATTTCCTGTTGAACAATGATAATAATAATGCAGCTTGACAAGTCATAGTTATTTGTATAAAAGTTTGGATTCGCTTTTATGTCATTGAAATATGTAACGGAATAACCTAATGATCAGAACCATAAGATCTTCAACTATTAAACCACGCATTCACACTTCACTTCATATACATTAAAGTTTGTGTAACCTAGTAGTACTACTAGCCTAAAGATAGATAAAATGCACAACTCAAAGCTGAGTAAATAAATGTGTACTTCGTTGAAATGAGTTACACCATGTTGTAAGGTTTGATGAAATCATTTGTACGTTAACTAAAGTGGAAACAAAGTTTCCAACTGTTAAGCATCAAATTTATGCAAATCACTCAGTCAAATCTTCAACAAGCAACTAAGACCGCTTCCTGTATAGCCTGTCCAACTTTTCAGCCACTAAGTTCCGAGTTTGAAGCCCCCTTTTCCGCTTATTTTCTCTTGGAAAACCGGGTAGTATTATTATCCCTCACAGAGTGGCTAGATCTGTATAAAGGTGCTAGTGTAAATGCTTTGTACAACAACTTTGGATTTTACACGAAAGTACAATTGTTTTAATTTAAGATTATTCAAAGATCAAAGTAAAACAAACTGTGTAAGAAAAATTAAGCTTGATGGTAGTTACTACTGACCTAATTCGTTATCAACAAACTTCACAAATCAATAACAACTAAATATAGTGGAGAAGAATATATATAATCAGTGATTCGTGTCATAATTCAGTCTTGTTGGAAATAAACCGAACAACATTGTAAAACTTAGGAACTACAGTAAAATGTAGGATCGTGATCTTTTGGTTAATATAAGTGAAACTCAATTACCAAATTACACACATATTCAGAGTTGGGTAGCACTGTATGAGGGCTAGTGACACTAACCAGTTGCCCATACCGAACAGGGTTCGGACCATAAACTCGAAAGTTAAAATCGTAGTGATTCAACAACTAACCGACTGTTCAAAAAGACAGGACATATAGTGACAAACTATCGGTAACTAGACAATGATTTAGATGGAATTAGTTTTAAATCGTATCTACCTATCTGCTATTTTATTATTTTCCCAATCTATCGCATAACGCTTAGTTTCATTGATATCGTTGCCAGCAAGCTATGCTATAGTCACTCCAAACATTATTTCAAGAAACAAATCTCTTATGTAACAACAATGAAATTTCATTAACTGGTAGTCATATTTTTCATAATCATAACTTATAAATTAAACGTACATAGATACTTCGTTTTGTACATGAAAATATATGAACAGTAAACCGAAAATATGGTTGAGATAAACGGACTCGATTATTTAATAATTAGTGGTTTCGTGTTTAGCGGAACTACAAAGTGAGTAATTTCGAAGTCAGTTAACGTACTAAGCAGATGTAAACGAGTTGACTAAGTTGACTGATGTTGTCGGGACAAGTGTTACATCTGAGTAACCATCACCTACCCCCAACTAAAAGCTTGTGAATTGGAAAATGATAAGGATTAAATATTGCATAGACCTATAAAACTGTTGACTATTGGATTAACCATCTCCGGAGGCGAATATTTCCTGCCAAGGCTAAATTTATTTTATTTATTATTATTTACTTAAACACAAACATTGGTACAAGTAGGCGCCAAACAGATATGCACCACATAAAGCATTCGATTTGTGTGAGGGCTCGGATATTGCCTGGGTGTCCAAACCGAAACAGGTGATTTTCTTAGGGGCCACACCCGGAGCCTTTGACCTAAAGATATGATCCACACGACAGTGGAACAACGTGAGGAGATGCACGCTCATGGTAGCCGGTGACCAACAATAGATTCATACACCATTTGTTCCGTCAAGATACTGGAGCCCATGTGCGCTATTGGTTTAGAATGAGGGTTTTCCAACTCCCCTAGGTGGACTCTCTGTGTCGCAGACTCCGTGTATAGTCACAGGACTTAGATGATATAATCAAAAAACGGTTGGAGTAGCACTGATGTATGCATTCACTATCTTCCTCTAAATCCTGAATTTAACATTATCACATGCTTTGCATTAACTAATCATGTCCGTCTTTTTAGACTACATTTTTTATGTTCAAATTTTATCATCACTAATATTAATGTCTTGATTGATTTTGTCACTTACCTTGTTAATTTCCCTTCGCTACATAAACATAAAGCGGAGTAACTGATCGATGAACATTTGTACCAGGTTCAAAGTTATTCATGACTGACTGATTCAAACTTAAATGTTTACTACATGAATATCGCTGGAGAACGAATAGCTTATACATGTAGAATCCTACTCAGTATGAGTATCAAAAATGTAGATGAAACTGGGTATACAAGTAAAAGTATGAGTCTTCGACATCGAGTTAGGCTTGTATCATACTTTAAGATTACAAGTATTTACCTATAACGAAGTGGAGCGTAATTTGAACCTGAGAACTGATAGATGTAAAATAAGTGCTAGAAGTGTTTGCCAATCTGGACCGATGAATGTATGTGACGTACTCCATATTGCTTATGACTAATAGACTATTTGAATGAGAGAACAAATAAATACATAGAACCTCCGAGTTACATCTCACAGACGAAAAACAAAGACCTTGCGAAAAATATGTGGTTGAGTACACATAAACGAGTAACAGTGAGTATTTGCTACTCTAAATCATTCATTTTTAACAACTGGTGGTAAATTAAACTCACAAGTCACATTTAAATATTCAAATATTTCCTAGAACATGTATTCCGCTGGTATGCTACATAATTTGGTTGTGTTGGAAATAAGAGGTTACCTTTGATCTGAACAAATAGCATTATTATGAACCAGCTTTTTGGAGACACAATAATAATATCACAACTATCCTACAACATATGATACCGAATCAAACCCCTTGATAAAACAGACTCAAAAGTTTGCTTAATTCAGAAAAGTGCTGCCATGCACATTCGACATCACTGATAACAATTGCAAAATCAACCAGACATAAATCCTCAATTCCCACTCCAACTTCGAAATCATGATACAATGATCTAAAAAATACGACTGACTGAATCCTGACAGAGTGGAGAATGCAGTACCTTGATTTGAATAAATAATAGCACCAGTAGTCTAATTGAACGTCCAAAAGATAGTGCGGATACAATTCGAACTGAATATATATTGGAATCTCGAGATAATTCACATAACTAATATATACAAGTCCCAAGATTCTTGGCTTTGCGTGATAAACCTAAGGAATTATTTCATTTAACTGTAAAGAATGATTTAACCACACTATAGGATAAAAATGACTACATTTCAAATATATTCTATCGAATACTATCTGGTCAGCTGAATGGATAGGGTAAGAAAATTCGTAATTCAGAAACAATGACTGATTTTTTATAGAAGAAAGTGACTTCAGAATGCTTAGAAAGTAATTAATATGCATATTTCACTTTAAACGGAAATTATGGACCTGAACCAGCACACATTCACTTGATGTGTATCGTCAGTCTATGGCAATTAAGCCACCTATTCAAACGTAAAAATATACTGTACATGCTGATTCCAAGAATTTGGAATTATCACAGAATCTAAGGTGTACACTAAACTATAAATTTACCCATAGCATGAATATAAATGCTAGCATACCTTAGATGCGACACGATAATATGGAACAACTTCTATTTTAAGCTCATCCAGAATTAACCTTTGTGCCTGCTGAACAATAAAATCGCCAGCCAAAGGGGAGCGTATAACCTCTTGAGTTAGAACTAAACCATCGTACACGGGGACGGCTGATGTGTGAATAGCACCACAATCCAAAACCAAACCAGTGTGTCTGCCGTTTGCAAAACAAGTTAAAGCAGCGTTCTTGGCTATATAAAATGCTGGAACCTAGATAATAATTCATTTGAAACGAAATAAACACACTTTAAACTTTTCGAACAAAATTTCAGCAATTTTCTCTCGTTTTGACTTTGTATTCCATGAAGGTTCCGAAAAAAGTATCGGGTGATGACTAGCCTCTTCAGGTGTAAGGTACCGTAGCATGTGACTCATAACATCCTCAAAAGCATCCCAGTCATCAACTGTACGAAAGTAAGTTAAGTAGAATCTTACTTAATCCATCTTTAAGAAATGATTGGAGGTCAGTTCCTTTACGAGGTATCAAGATATTTTGGCCAACGACTCTTTTCGCTGGTAGACCTTCTTCATTTCCAATAATCCCAAGAGTAGATGGAATATCAATCTTAACTGATAATTATAAGTTACAAATATCAACCTTAGGGTTATCTTCGCCAGCAAAACCCCCTCGAAGAGAATACGATCCAAAGTCAAAAACTAGTGCCCCAACCTCATCTATGGGAATATTAAAGACAAACTAGAAGTTCGGACAAACCACTCATAGTGAACTCCCCTAACCTTTCAGAGCGCTTGCGCGATGCAATGACCTTAGTGTTTCAATTTTATTACAGTAGCTTGTTAAAACGAAATGACTGAAGTTCATATTTTTATGCAGAAATTCGAAAAAAAACACTTATCTTGGCAGTTTTACCAACTTGAAAGTAACCTTTCCCATGGGTTGGTATACCAACCCATGGGACGGTAATTTCACCCTAACTATTTTGATATCATTCGGCTGACCTATATTTCCAAGCTTTTCAAAATAGAACACGATCTCACTAATAAAAAATACGGGCATTATATTGAGAAAAATTAGCTCTAAATCCAACTAGACAATAACACTTAGTTAACCTTTATTATAAAGATATTCGGAGGACCACAAAAGTAGTTCTGATCTACAATAATATTCTCATTATCTCGATTCTAGGAAATCGTCTAGTCCAACATTCATAGCATAAATGTTTCGCCGGTAACCGGAAATAATAGATGGTAGCGCTTGAGTTGAAAGTCAGAGATATAATTAACATTTACAAGAAAATGGGGTAAAAGCTCAATAAATATTACCAGTGTCCCATAACATAACACTTTGAAGGGAATTTCAGACTATTTACTCTGTTACAGGTATTTAAGAAATGAGTTGGAAGTTCGTTTTGACTACGAGTGTTTTCCTATTTTACCATTAATACAATTTACATTCCACAAGGTTGTGTGTATCTGGTAGTTTGAAATCCCGAAGGCACAAAACGTGAACCACAACCGTAATAATTTATGCACGAGGTTTGGTCCGAAGTGTCTATTTCTCCTTTTAAAAAGATGTTCTGTCGTAGGTATTCTGTCACACGTTCATCATTTGACCTCGTTAGCTAAAATCTGTATATTCTGTAAAGTGAACACAAATGTTAGTATCTGTCTAACGCTGAATCTTTGGAACCTATCCTAGTATATAGTTATTTGGAAAAATTTACTTGATTGACTGGTTCGTTTGAAACACACATTTTATCCCAGAACTTCGACAGTAGTCCCAATTCAGCATGACATTTTCTTAGCTATCTCCATGTTCTCTAATCGACATATGCAAAAGAACAGCAACCACGTAATTAACACATGCACTTCTACTATCTTGGAAGGACCACTCCGGCATTCATATAAGCTCTATTCAAGATTTAGTACGTTAATTCCTGCAGCTAATCGATCACGCAGCTGCATAAAAAGTTGGTCACCGAAATTATACTTGACAGCTCCCTTCTTCAATTCGAGAACAAACTCTACAACATTCTGGTTGTTCTAACGAATCATTAAATAAAATATCGCACTTTCATGACGTTCAAAAGTTGTACACTTTACATGATTTAGTAGCAGTTCTTTTTAAGTTAAGTAAGAACAAAAATGGGCTTATCTGAAAATAATAAATCTTTAATTACGTTGTAGGTGCTTTTCCTGATGAATGCGAGGAAATGAGCCACGATTTTATCATCCTAAACATTTGTTCTGGTCGTTATCCACAAGTGAGACCCTTCCATGTAATCTTCGAAAGCTACAGAATTTTAATGTTTATCCAACTGTTCAAACACAAGCTCCATAGGGGCGCTAATGCATAAATAGAAGTGTTAGAGTTTATATGCTATCTAATAATTCTCGAAATAGTGCGATAATAGGCAGCCAATCTGGAATTATGGTCAACTTCGTTATTACTTATAAGTCTTGCTAATTGAACGTTATATTCAGTTCCTAAGCTATTCTCGTAACCCCCAAGCTAGAAAAGGTGCAAAATATGCGAGAAGCAATGTCCTCCAAAATTTCATTCTATTACAGAAAATATCGGGCTTTTATAACATTTTAGATGTCCTCTAGTTTTTCGAAGATTTCGAAGTGCTACTAAACATAGTAGCAATCAGAAACTCTACATGTGACTTTTCACTTTCTTAATGTTTCTGGCTAAACTCCAAGTGAACGCTGATTGGGTAAAGTGCTTCTTTGTGTTTTCTTGATCCTTCCTTGTCTTTTGCGATAAGTGTTCTGAATCACCCCAACAATTAGTATTGCTCAAATAATAGACCTAATCCTAAAATTGTAGATTTTTCATGATTTGACTACATAATCTATAAGATCTTGCGTGGAAGCCACATCATTATATACACTGGCTATTCGTATCGTAACAATTAACAATATAATGTAAAGAACGAATGTAGGCTGAAGATAGAATAACATATTTAATTCGAGTAAAGACGAGTTATACAAAATGACCACGTCAGTTAGGCTGAGCCGTTCCATCGGATTTATTGAATTACTCCTTCCCGCATTCAGAATTGTTAGCCTTCTCTTCGTGTCAATTTTTGAATACAAATTGGTCCAGTCCGGTTTCAGAAGTCGTGTGTTTAGGGTCCAACGCCAATACAGTAGAGCCAGATGAACACAACTGGAAATTTCAATGGTTAAGAGTTGGCTTCATCATTTCTTTTTTTGTTGTATGATGCCTCCCCGTTGGTAATAAGGTTTCGATTGCTTGGCTAAAAAGTCACATCACGGACTGATTACCTATTCTTTCTCTTTGACAGTCTATTAACGACGTTTGTCGCTTGACTTGATAGTTTCGGGTAACGTTTGATTTCATTGTGTTGGAAATAGTCTGGCTGATTTTGTTTAGTGACCTGTTTTGTTGTATAGTGCCATATGTTGTAACGGATAGGCTTTCAACTGTGTAATAGATGGGCAGCTTAGTACTGAATAAATTATGTACAAATTCTGTGTTTTGATATATCTTTGATTGTTAGTAGCTCAGAGAAGATTCGTACCCTTTGAAGAGGGACGCAGTAATTTGCTTTCATTGAATACAACCTGACTGTGTTGAATTATTTTATATATCCAGGTCAAAAAAATTAATTTTAGCATCTACTGTTAAACTTAATAATTAGCTCCAGATAATGTTCACACTATCGCTTGAACAGGTCCGTGGGATACATTTCGATCCATGCTGGCTATCCTTGACATTGACGAAGCTCAGCAAGCATTTCGAAACCTAGTAATCAGTGTGCGAAGTATCATCGCGTTCGACTTCAACGATAATTTGGCCGACGTTCAATGTTATTTCACTGACCATCAATAAACGTTTCCGAATTGACTTTCTTTAAATAGATATTATCTGCAGTAGTGCATGATTCTTGGTTCTCTATCTTCAGACCTTCAACATGTTTTTTAATTATTTTAAAACGAAGGCCAAGAGACTGAACCTTCATATTCGTGGTGTAGTCGAATTATACATAAAGCCACAGCACGCGTAGTTTCAGCAATAAATGTTTAAGGTCCTGAAAATGAAATGAGAAATGTTTAATACACACAAACGGGAATCTGGAAATTCAGTGTTTTTTTTATTCTCGCATGTGAATCACGTGTATCTTTTCATCTAGCTACCCATTCCCTTCATCATTGCGATGAACCTGGAAAACTCTTATTTCCATGAACTTCAGAGAGGCACACGAATGAAGACAGAATGTTCAAAGATGACAAACAACTTACTAATTGACCATCAAGTTCCATAATTAAGAATAGACACTCGAAACTCTTTAGCTAAACACGCGTCAATTGTCTCTCCTGCAGGAATATTGTTATAATCTATCTTATTAGGAAATAACTGCATTTACTGCCTAGTATTCTTCGGTCACTTTATTCAACCAGTCTCCAAAAAAGGACACGGCTAAGTAAGAAGGTAAATACATTCCAAATAAAAAAGGTTGGATGGAAGAAAGAACCAAAACACGAAGAACTTCAGCACATCCATTATCTATTGGAGATTTTAAATCATTTCCCAACCATCTGAAGGCACTGATTGACTAGAAATTGACCAATCAGATACACAGAGACGATCCTTCAAGGAACATGCTTTGATCTAATATATATGCATATCCCGCCAACAGATATAACAAGAAATGGGTGAGTTGCACGAGAAACCTAGTACCGATGAAACCAACAAAATCCATTCGGTCTCTTGCCTTTATCAACTGAAGTTGTCCGGGTTGCTCATTTCATCTTGCAGGGTTTCTTAGCTGTTCAAATAAGGGAAAGGATCTGAAAGCTCATACACAAGTGCACATGGTCACACGCTCAACAGGGTCTTGGTTACAAAAAATAAGAATTTATAAATGAAAGACATAGCAATAGTAGTTTAGTATGAAACATGATCACATGGAGTGTCGCCTCTTAGAAAAAACATAGTGATGGAACTGCTCCCGACTATTTGTCATCAGACGGCATTTAAATATACGTTGTTCAGAATTCACACGAAGTAGAGAATTGGTTTAATTATACGACCCATATCATGGATATCTCAAAAATAGGCAGAAGACAAAGAAGTGACGATGTGTACGAACATATAAGCCTACTACTGTATAAAACGGTGAATACAAGAACAATTTCATATGCGCGATCGTGGAAGAAAATACGATGTTTTATTCAGATTCCTAAAAGTTGTCAATGTCTTCTGCTACTACATTATTTACGAGATTGGATATTGAAAAACTGGTTGTTCTGTACCATCTGAATCTGAATCCGATGTGCCTTTGTTTTTCGCGGCAGTAAGTGCGCGCTGTTTGCACTCGTGACTCTTGTCTTCGTTGTAATTACGGTTCAAGTTATTATTGGTTTTCCGTGATATTCTTTATTGATCTTTCCACATTCGTTATTTTTATCAAAAAGGACCATTGCAGTTTTTAGATTTTATTATTCAAGTAGCTTGTAGTGTTTGCAGTGTAACTAGCCGTTCATGTCCTTTCGAGGCTTTTCATCTCTTTTTCAGATGGAGAAACCAGTCCAGCACTGTTCTAATTTTACTCGTTACCATGTCTTGCACGTTCAAAGATTGGATAACAGGGATTTACTAAAAATATTGTCAACTTTATTATATCTAAACATAAGCTAAATCTGTTGACTCTTAGAAAGACGACTACCTGTCAAATGGAAACTCGATATATGTTTCAGGCTTGACGCTTTCGGTACCTGGTAACCAACTATTGGCCCATGAGTTCATAGCCATTACATCTGATTCGGTCTGGCTAATCGGATAGTATCTTAAATATTTACTTAGTATGTGTGGCCTAAATATTACCATTCAGATATGTACATGGACATTGAGTCTTGCTTATTATTATTGGTCTTATTCTATATTGTATTTTTGCTGCAATATAGAATTCTCAGCACAAAGTATTTCAGCGAGTTTCTGTTTCTTATTTCTTGGTCGATATTGACGGTAAATATTGAGTAGTCGCCACTTAGATGTTAGCATTTCAGAAACCGACATCTGAATGATGTCCATTTTTTCAATCCATATTACGAGCAATTACAATGTCTCCGATTGTACCGAGAGAGGTCGTAAACTTTTCACAAACGCACCTGAATGGGAAACAACGAACCGGAACAATATGAAGTATGCAGTAATAAAAGAGCTCAACATTTTGGGAAATATAGTTTGAACATACTTCATCAATGTAATAGATTCTAAGTCGTATCTCCGACCACAGTTAACTTCTTAAACTTACGCCACATCTCGTTTCGGCCACACTTAGTTTTGTAATGCATGACTTTTTAACCCACCATTATGCATTAAAGTACACGGGGGTTGAGCATATCTAACACTCGTCCTAACTATCTTAGTCGATAAACATTTACGACCTCATCAACTGACCTGCCTAGTACGCTATCCCTAACTTCAACAGTGCTCACTCTGCTGTTCCATAGTACACGAGTAGCACTTCAGATACCTACTTCCAGTCTTTATGTTTCTTATTTTCATAAGCCATGTTTCACAGCCACAGCAATCTGTTGGATAGCATCCTTACTCCCTGGTTTGTAGACAGGCATTTGACCGTCGCCACAAGTGATGCAAGTTAGCTAATACCAAATAAGTTTCTTAGATCCATTATAAGACCTTATCAGTCATTAATTCCAGCCTACCATAGCTGATGAAACTTAGATGATATATAAAATGACTGTCGTGCTCAATTACCTTACCCTTAGGGTCATCCTAGACGTTGATACAGACTGGTTCTAAGGCAACATTTTTCATTCAAGGAGAATGAAATACATATTCACTATGTTTGTGTTGCTACTCAATGTGTTTGGAGAACTGTTTCGCCAGTCATCAAACAGGACTATATCGTCTGTGTGTTCTAACCCTTCTAAATTAACCTCTCCAAAGTCTGATGATTGTGAACTCAAGTAACTTTATCATTATGCAATACGCCAGAATGTACATTATTGATTCTATTTCAAAATACCATGCACCTTAATAACTACTGTTTAATTGACACATTATAGATGATGGATCATGTGATGAATTATACCTCAAAAAGTCCTGAGAAGTCCAGTCCGAGTTTTCCAGAGGATGTGGAAGATGATGATGAAGATCCAATGGACTTGGAGCCATTAAAATATTCTTCTCTTCGTCAACATGTAAACAACAATAACAACATTAATAATGAAAATAATCGCAATAATAATACAATCAATCATTGTGATGATGATGTTGACGAACAACTCGATGTGACAATGTTACCACCGGAGGATGAAGATGACGATATCGGTGGAACAACTCGTGGATTCATGTTAAATGTTGATAGCCCACGTCATCCAACTGATTCAACTGAAAAGAAAGTACATTGGTCAAATCAAAATGTTCAAACATTGTTAGATTGTGTAGAAAAACATTTGGATGAATTTAATATACAAAAAAAGCATAAGCAAGTTTGGCAAATTATTGGCACAGAAATGGAATCATTAGGTTTTACTATGGAACATTGTTACAATAAATGGAAGAATTTACGTCGTGATGTTCGTTTATTGGTGAATAATCCACAAAAAGCTGTTCGTAACGCCGATATTCTACGACGTGTGGCTCGTTTAATCTTAGTAATCTATCCAAATATTGATGCTACAACTATGCAAGTAACCGGTGATCGTATCAGTACAAGTAAATCTACACCGAATACACCAGGTGGTCCTGGTAGTTTGTCATCAGCCAGACTTACATTATCCTCATCATTACACGCTCCAGATTCACCATTATACTTTGGTCTATCTAGAACGCGTACACCACATTCCTTAACACCGAATTTTCATTCATTAAATGGTACAAAATATAAAACTGAACAGTCCAATTATGATACAACAACTAATACTCCCACTACTTCTGTACCTGGTACTGCATTGTTCACCAGTAATTCACGTTGTTCAGACAATGATAAAAAACATCATGTATCATCTACGCCTAATTCAACAAGTCATGACAATAATACAACAATTTCACAACATGCTAATTCTGGATTTCCATTCATTTTTAATCCCGCAGCAGCTGCTCTTCTAGTTCAGTCACAGCTATTCAACGATTTACTACGTCAACAACAAACACAACTACAAGATGATTCTATACCTTTGGATAGTATACAACAACGTGAACAATTCTTTGCTCTTACTGCCTCTCTAAAAAATGCTTTGCACTCTACTAATAGTCCAAATACCACAAATGGTGGTAATGCTGCACTTACACAGCATACTACTAATACAAATAATAATGGTATTAATAATGCCAATAAGAGTATAATCACAAATGGTAATGATTTTAATACAGACAATAACAACAACAACGCTAATAATTCATTGCATGTTGCCAATTTAGCTTCTAATTTGTTGAATGGTTTAAACGGCATGGATACATCACAATATCTGAATTTATTGGCATCTGAAGCAGGTTTACTGAATGGTAATACGACTACTCATCTTAATAATTATAATAATACTAGTCATCCTCATCATCAACACCAGCCACAACAACAGTCATACACTTCTATATCCGACCGATTACCGCCTGGTAGTGAGTTGGCTGGTGTTGTCCAGCGTTTACTCAATGAAGAGACTATTCATTTACGCTTGACCGATATGGTTACACATTTAGCTGACGAGTTACGGGCAGCTGGTCTACGTAGACGTGCCACATTAGATCAACTATTAGAAATTATGCAAGGTGGGGGCGGCGGTACCACCTCTGGATGTGTATCGGCAGTCGGAACAAATACATCCATGAGTCTTACTCACAAAAATTCAGATACTACGCATCGTGTTTAGTGAGTAATTATAAAACCGACGGTGGAATATTTATATGGGATTTAATTGTTTTTGTGTATCTTATAAGAAACAACTATCAACAAGGTCCGATGAATCAATAGAGTAATACTGATGTCTATGGATATATTATATGTAAAAATGAGAAATCAAACCGGTAAATTCCAGTTGTTGTTTTTTTTAGCTAAAAACCATTTTTTGTTGTTGTAAACTTTTATATATTAAGAAGGAAATTTTCTTGTCGACCTGTGACGATTGTGTTCGCAGTGTTTATTTAGGGCAAAACAATATGTAGAAAGCATTTTGTGTAAAATCAACGGTAGATTACTGTTACTACTTCCACATCATCGAGTGTTTGTTGATTCTATGTTTCCTTCTTCTCTTTCTCTCTATTTAAAAATCTCTATATGTATTCTAATCACACAAATTCCATTGTTTTGTTTTTACCTATTTTTCTCTGGCAATGTAGTAACATTGGATATTACTGCCACTTTACTAAGAAGTAGAGAGGAGCAGTGAATTGTGTATCATAGGATATCTCATTTTGTTAATTGTCTTTTCCTTTTTTTAAAAATTTTCTACAAAGATACAACCATTCTTTTCCACCGGTTCTTTTACAATTTTTTACGTAATGCATTTTATTTGTATGTTGTGAGGTGTTTTCTACACGCGTTCGCACACGCACGCCGAAAAGTAAAACTCACATTTCATATTATTATGGAGCATTTATTAATTAATTTTGAACAGCGCCGGGATTTTTTATATGAAAATAATCATCTTAAATTTTAAAAAAATAGAAAATGTCGTCTGCATTATTATTCTCGTCCTCATTATCATCATCATCATCGTTGTCATTCGAGTCATTAATCTGTTCCCTCATGAAGTTTCATAATTCCGAATGTATTTCTATTTCCATATTACATTAGATCTGTCCGACTAATCCATATGCTAAGGGTTGTTTTTATACATATATATATGAATCCATCTTCCCCTATTCAAAAAAGCAGCAGCTCTATTAATTGTGGTTGTTTTTGTGTGTACTTTTCTTTTGTCAGTAACTGACTGGTTTAAAAAGAAGAAACTTTCGAGTTTGTTTTTCTTTTTTGTAAACAAATCTAAAAGTATGGCTGTGGTTTCAATAGTTCTTTTTTTTTCTACAATTATTATTTCTATATTATTCTTTTTTTAAGAATGTTACCCTCGTCTTATTCAATTTTGTTTTTTGATAGGTAGACATTAATGTTTTTGTTTTTGTATGTATTAAGTGTCATCTATCATTAATAAAAAACAAACAACAACATTTTAACACTTGTCCAACCTTGCACTTCATTTGTTCCATAACCAACCAATCCCTCTTGTGGAAGTATATGTATGTTGTTTCAAAACAATAATATTTTTGATATCTATACCCATATATATATACGTATATTTAACTGGTAAAATCTGGTTTACATTTTGTTACTACTACTACGACTACTACTACTATTACAGTCAATATATACTACTATTTATTTATCATTATTAACTGTTCTTCATGACTTTGTTTTTCTTCTTCAAATCAATGGGATTATTTTAGATCTCGTTTTTTTGTGTTTTGTAAACTTTTTTTTGAGTAGAGAATAGAAATCTTGTCATTTATCATTGAATTTCTCTTTCTCATCTACATCTTAAGTAATGATGATTAGTTGTTGCGTACATGGGGACATTAAATGATAAAACTTTAAGGGTTTTTTTTTTGTATTATTATTATTATTGTATTAACTCTGCAGCATATCTAACAACTCTAATCCGGTGTTTGTTTATCTATGAAAATTCTTCGACACAATGAATATATACATACCAAAATTGAATCTGTTTTTTTCTCTTTTCTTTCTTTCTTTATGTGCAACTTTTCTTCTTTTTTTTTAATAAAGAAAAAAATCATCACTTCAATTATAATTCATTGTATGGACGAACTTCTTTATCATTTATGTATGTAGATGAATATGTATCTCTCTCTTGATGTGTGCATTTTTCTCTTTCCTAAATATGAAACCTGTTTACTGTCGAATATTTCCGCCTTGTAGTTTTTTTGTTTGTTTTGCTTTTTACTATTGAAAGAAGCATATTTGGCTTCAATACATTCTCGGTTATTATCTTACTTTTGTTATAAACATCAATATTGTTATCATTATTGTATTTTCAGTATTTCTTTATTCATTTCTATAAATAAATTCACTCAAATACGTTCCATTTTGAAGAAGAACAAGAAGAAGAAAAAAGAAATTATTTTTAATACTCTACTATATTGTGGTAGACTGTCCTAGTTTATGATTACACATAGGATGCTCTATTTTTTTTTTGACATGCTTTTAGTCCTTACCCTCATCCCCACCAACCCGTCATCATTGTTTAGTAATAAGGAGATCTATTGTCGCTATTTTTTTTTCTCTCGTTCTAAACTCGACTACTTTTTTGACCAAAAAAAACAACACATTTTTGATCTTATTTTTCACAATTCTCATTATTCCATCGAGTTGTTGTTGTTGTTGTTGTTGTTTTTTATTTAAAGGAAGACTTCATTCATAGAAAGATAAAGATAGTCTTCATTGAATTAATCCCTTAATACCATAACACTTATGCAACAGACAAATATATTTTTACAAAAACATGAGTTTTTTTTATTAAAATCTAAATGATGAACTATAGTAGTCTATTTATCAGAATAATTGGATTCATCTAATTAGACAGAGTTCAATCAGCTAGTATGTATTTGGTTAATTTGAATGCCATGTTGTTGTTGTTGTTGTTGTTGTTCTACACGTTACAATCTCTTCTTTTATCTTTCACCGATCATTACAAAAATCGCAAAATCTCGTCTTTTCTTTCTTTTTTTTTCATGTATCACAATAAGAAAACAATTACCCTTTGATTCAAATGAAGTGACTATTTTTTTTCTCACCATCGATGTATTTCACTCTGATATTTTCCTGTTATGTTAGTATATATATATGTCTTTTTTTTTATATATTATACCTATTCCATATATCTTGGCTGTTTGCATTTCTCATATTCCTTTTGTTTTCAGATCTGTTTTATAAGTGGCAAGTGTAGGTGAATATGTTGTACACGGGGGTTTCTTTTTTTTTGTTTATCGTACATACATATGTATATTATATAATTGTAATTTTTTGTGCGCTTTTCCACATGAATGTTTGCTGTTGTTAATATCAATGGTATCAGTAGTACTAGTAGCAGTAGTAGTACTAATCGTAACTAGTTGTACAACATACTACTAATATGAATTTTAAATGAATTATTTTTATTTTTGCCATGTACATAATTTCTATTGCATTCACACATAATTAGTGTAATTTCTGTAAACTCTTTATTTTTCTAAGTTAAAATGGGTTATGGATAGATCAGTGTATCCAGGATGAGGCAATTATTAAAGGAAATCAGTTTTCAGTCATTCAAGTTTTGGGGATTCGAATCAGTCTCCATCTTCGTGACTGTTTTAACGAGTCAATCGAGCTATATTTTCTGCAACATTTATTCCTTTAAATGGTATCTTCTTAGCCAGTTAGTTAGAGAGTGGTAAAAGTGGAATTAGTAATTTGAGGTCCGATAGCAAAACCGTACTGCTGACTATACAGGGGTTGAGATGGCGGTAAGATGTTTCCCTCAGATAAATAGTCTTCAGCGTTGCTGACCTTCCTTAACCGAAAGAAAATGTCAGAAAAGATCGACCCTAAATAATATAATGGCCAACATATTTCGATTGACAGGGGTAAGGTTTCAAAGCTACACAAGTGTGATCGACCTTGAGTCTTTTGACTTTGCTCTGCGGTCTTGATCCTAGATTGTCAAGATCATCCAAACCCAATCTTTCAAAGGTCTTTCATACACACAACGTCGCTCAAGACCACCTGTAGTTTAAGAAACGGGGTAGTTTCACTGAAATGTAACTCAAAACCTTTACCAGTCGCAATAAGCCTCACTAATAAACAAAGTGATAAGTAGCTATCGTCGAAGTAAACTTACAAATATTTTTCCTCTTGTTAGTGTTGATCGGATTTTAATTGACTAAGCCCTTAATCTGAACAAAAATCATGATGATTGGGCAGTAAAAGCTACAGATCCTTGTCTTTTCGTTCCTGATTGTCGACATGACATAACGTGTTTTCCATGATACTAGTGATCCTTTAGAGACTAGTTCCAGTCGTACTCAACTTTTCAATTAAGAACTGCGTCGCTAGACTGTAAGAACTACTCTATGAGAGAACGACTTATTGAATAAAGCTTTACTGAAATTAAGTGATCAAGTATTTATTCGTCCAACCATTATAAATAAAGGCTTTTGGCCAACTATTTGTAATTATTTGATGTCTGGATAGTTAATTTTTTAATATTCGTACTGATCACAAGCGTAGATCAGTTGAATGTAACTTCTTTTGTCTGGAACATGTTGCAAAGTTCCAAACATGGTTAGCGTAGACAAAATACTGTTAAGTATAGCTAATAGTAATCCATAGCGAACTATTTGCATCTGGGATCATTGTATCTAGTAGGCTTTTGTATAAACTCATTAAACAAGAATATAATAGTAGGCGATCTTCGTGTATTCACATATCTGTTGCGCCGACACTGAACTTCAGAAATATGCAACTCGTATCGTTTCTTTAGAAATTCAAAATTCTTGTAAAATTTAGCTCGTTCTCTAGGTAGTCTTGCGCTACAATTGTCTAGCTGATTACTTAGCAGTAGTTCATAGGTTCATTTCGATTATGGCGACATAGTTATCACGAGGTTTGAGTTATCCGTTCTATGATATTTATTTGAGTGTTTTAGGGAATCTACTAAAACCAACTGATTAATAGACTACTGGATTTTGTGAATCTTGACGGATTACTTTCAGTTTTGTCTAATGGCTAAAGCTACATTTAATGTATGGATATGCTTTCTTTGTTCATTTAGATAGTAGTTTAATATATCTATTTTTCCATTCTGAGCAGTGATGAAACCCACTGCACTATTACAGGCTCTTCAAACCCTTACATAATTATTGTGCCTCAAAGGCCTATACTCTAATTTGTAAGTCACTTCCGATTCTTGTTTTGTCTATCAATATTACTGAGCTTGTGTATAGTGCCGTGATGTAGGGAGGCTTTTTAAATAATAAACAATACTAATCGATAAACAACGCAAGTTATTTGATATGTCCAAGTAATATTTGCATTTGAGACCAAGTTATCAGCTCAACTCCATCGGTGAACTGATATTAAAAAAAAACGCAAATAACGAACCAAAATGTTACCATTTAAAACATATTTATGGTTCGTTAGTACTTCAGATCGCTTATCCATTATGTTAAATGTATATTGGTGATCAGCTTTTATCGCTCAATACTTGGTATGAATTATTTAAGAGGTTTGTTTCTCAATAAAAAGCATATATCAACCGTCATATAACCGGTTTTCCGTGTAATCATTGTATCTTTTTGGAGACTGCTAATAACCTTAAAGAAATCTTGACACTCAACTGTAATTCATTGCAGAAGATTGTTCCCAGTTCGAAGAGTACCAGAGCATTTCTCTCTCGAGTTTTAATTTATTAAATTTCTGATTGATTAAAAGCGACAATTATTTCCTACTGAACCCATAATTATCTTAAAAGTTTGATTGATGCGTCCGCATGTTCGGAAATATCTTAGAGTATTTCTTATGTTAAGCAGTCATAAAGAATCACTTGTTACTATAGTATTTCTATAACCTTTAGGCAAAAAACTTTTCGGGATATGTCTGGTCTTTGGTAAGAAAATATTTTACTGTGAACGGTAATCAATACCATGCCTGTTTGGTGCTTTAGTCCAATTTTCCATACCATATTACAACAAAATTAATTGCAAGAGATCAAACCGTGAGAGTATAGTTTGGACGGACTGAATGAGAAGGTATGTAAAAATATTGGGATTCACCATCGAGAGGAATATAAGGAAGGAATGGATTTGGGTTAGTGCAAACGATTCTGGAGGTACCTGAAAAGGAAATTGGATTAGAGGTGGTCTTAGTCACCTGGGAGCGTGACCGCAGTGCCCAAGGGACAACTGTTTGAGGTCGGTCACACATGACCTTTTTATGGGTAATTTTTGTGTTAGCTCCGTACTTGTTGAGACCTTACCGCCGGAGACGGATATCCGTGGGATTATAAGTCGCCCAACTGCTCGTTACAGATATTACGCGGACATCGATCAAAGGGTTTGGATCTACCAACGATCAGTGACTTCGTGAACTGGTGCCACGTTTTGGTTTGTATGCCACCATACTCCATCAGCAAATATCGCCCTCGAGGAGGACAGTAGTCAGACATAGGTAACATTATTCAAAGAACTTCAGTCGGTGAAGATTTGCAAGCTTTCTGCAATGATTGCCTGGTACTCTATTTCTTTACGAGGTTGAAAAAGCTATAGGAAATCTGAAGCGTAAGAGAGCAGCAGGCCCTGAGATTTTTAAGGATTGCCGTCCTATATTAGCAGCGAGATTAACTGAGGTCTTACGTAGAATCCGAGAACTGTACGTAATCCCATCTGACTGGTCTCAATCTCTGATTGTGCCAGTCTATAAGAAAGGACAAAAGTCTTGTGACAATCACAGAGGAATCAGTTTGACTAATATAGTGTCTAAAATATTAGCTTCAATAATACTTCGACGCCTAACCAAAGCTCGTAAAGAGCAGACTAGAGAAAACCAGGCCGGTTTTCGACCTGGACATGGTTGTATGGACCAGATATTCACACTACGTCAGGTCCTAGAACATAGACACACATTCAAGCGCCCCACAATCGTAGCATTTCTCGATCCTAAGGTGGCATTTGACTCTGTTGATCGTGAGGTTCTGTGGCAGTGTTTGTCACTGAAAGGAGTACCAAATAAGGAAATTAACCTTATGAAGACTATCTACTCGAACACAACAGGTCGAGTGAGAGCTTATGGCGAACTGTCATCAGAATTGATTACCATGATTCTTACCTACCAATAAACAAATTGAGACATGATAAAAGATGCCGAATTTTCATCGTTATGTTTTGCAATTTTTTTTCATTTTATCAGTTTTCATGTACAAGTTAGGACTTATCAACTTCATTCTTTTCCTTATAAATCATATGCTCCGTGACTTACCTCTCGGATACAGAACGGTATCTTTTGATTAAATAATTGGAAGCAGGTGTACTTCATCATTATTCCGCCCTGAAAACACGTCTAAACATTACCATATTGTGGAGAGTCAAGTAGTATAATCTGTGAAAAGAAGATGAAAACAGATATTTCGAAGACTTACCATGCGGCTAGATTTTTTATTACTCGAAAGGCAACGAACATGATTCCATACTGGTTTCATTATTGAGTAATTAATTATTTCCAGTTCACAATTATCTAGATAGATGCATCGAAATGGAGTAAACGAGCTCTATAGATTAGCGTAGTAGAATATATACACCTTGAACATACCCTGATAATTCTTATGCAAATTTTATTTTCAGCAGTGATATGTTAAACGTTCGTTCATCCCATACTCACCATTTATTGATTTTCTTTCTGCGATCGTTAACCTTGAAAGTACTTTTCATCAAGCAATGGTATTAGCTACCAAACTAAGCGAAAGTCGACACGTGTTTCGTTGTAGTTTGAAACTTCAATGAAATACATACGTGGCCTGATCAGGTATCTAACCCAGAATCTTCATGTATCGTGGAGACCTTTCTTCGTTTTTATACAAAATCATGTAAAAATGAATGATCATAATGTTCGAAATATTCATTACAAGAATATATTCACGTATAAAGACTTACTGATCGGCTGTATCCTCTCATTACACTATTAGAGTATTCATTCGGTTATTTTTAGTTCATCTTAGACAGTCAGTCAGCTGCAAAGTAGGACTAGGCACATATGTGCTTCGGTCCAAGTTACCATACTTCATTAGCACAACATCTTGAACACCAAATTCACAGAAGCAGTTACTTCAGTAGTGGTAATATATAAAAGAAAGATTGTGTATAAGCATATAATATAGGAAGAAAGAATTAGTTTGTAGTAAGAAAGATATTAAGCAATTTTAATCTCAGTTTAAAGGAAGATAGAGAGTGTATACACCGACACCATTGTGATCGATTCTCAGCTATGTCACTCAGTGTTACAATAGTCACGCAGACCCCAATCAAGTAGTCTGTATCTATCAACATGGCTCAGACCAGAAGTTAGTGACTTCAAGCACTGATGCTACGTTTTGGTGTGGCCGCCCCTAACTTTCTTACAACCATCCCCAACACTAATCAGCATTGAGCGTCATGGTAATCAGTGTTCAGGCATACGTAACACGTGCC